AGATATACATTGAAAAAAAAAAACTGTTTCCTTTAGGATTTCCCCGTTGGGATTGTATGTTACTCGTGGAATTTTTCTTCGGATGAATAATAAGAAGAATAAAAGAGTTCAACATGAGTTAGGATTCTAAATTTTGGGGAATATATTACTGCATACAAATCGGATTCCTATTGGAGAAGATAATTAATTATGATATGCATTACTTGGTTTTGAGAGATAGATAAGAAAACTAATTATACACGATCTATTACTATAAAAAAGGATTAAAATGTATTTTAATAAATATGGGCTTTATGAATAGGTTTATCTTAAATTCAACAGGTTTTAATTATTAATTTTTCAATACATAAGAAAACGTGTTTCCATATTATGGGGTAGTTAGAATTTAATGGATTCTTGTTACTATCTATTTAATCACATATGCATTCAAAATTTTTAAATCCAAAACAAAAAAAAAAATTGAATTTTAATCAGCCGCCCAAAATTCAAATTCTTGAAAAAAATTACCATTAATCTATATCTATTATTGTAATCCGATTTTTTGTCTATTACTTTTCGTACCATCTGCGCGCGCTTAGACTTTCTTTTTTCCCTTTTTTCTTCCCGGTCCAATATTTTTCTTATCTGTGATGGGTTGAAGTGCCACCAACCCGCCTAATGTTTGTAAACGTAGGGGCACGCACATTTGGAATATTCTATTATTTTATGTTAAATAATAAAAGGAAATAAAAAGAATTCAAAAGCGAGATCATGAAAAAACTAATATGGGATTTGTTGTTATCCGATTTTAACAAATCTCTTCCCAAAAAAAAGGAAATAAAAAAGGATTCAAAGCGGGATTATGAAGAAACCAAATCCTACCAAATAAAAAACCGAATCCTAAAAAATTGCTTCCAAAAAAAGAGGAAATGATTGTAAGCGGGATTATGAAAGAATTTAAAAAAATTATAATAAAAAATAAACGGGATCTTTAAGCGGAAAAATGAAGGAATTATTTTTGAGTTTTTTAAATATTTTTTATTAGTCGTGTTTTATAGTAATAGATGAGGAAAAATGATGTGTTCCAAAATGCAAATGAACATAATGAAATATTAATTAGTATAAAAATAGTTTTCTATATTAATATTATTTTTTCTTGTATTTTATGATACATAATAATTTAATATATGATTTATATATTTGCAAATGGTAACGTCAAACAATCCGACTGGCTGAAAATCGGTTTGTTTTCTTCCTCATCGCCGGTAAATCGCCGCGTACCAGAAAAGAACTCTCACACCGGAGGGGTTATCTGGTAAAGAGCCTATGATGCTTAATTCAGTGTATGTTCTACTCAATCATCACGAGTAAAAATGTATATAGTGCTCAAAATGTAAAGCTCACCCCTATATATAGGGGTGAGGTATCTACTTCTACCCGGGTTAACTGAGCTGGCTGCCCCAAAAGTTGTTCGGCTTGCCCGTTCGTACACACACAACGTGCGTGTGTCAGAGACGGTTATCATTATAGACTAATCCAGTCGTGCCACGTGTCCTCTTCACATGGGGTAAAGATTCCTATATATTATCCTCGAAGGCTCTTGCACTCGACCGTGTCTAGGTCGATCCTCGGACTGCTCTCAGTCTGCGAAGTGGCCAATCAAATGACCCTTTTCTCGTCAGGTCAATCTTCGACCAGATCCTCCGTGGACCCGGGACCGGCCCGTTCTCATCGTACTGAGATCCCCCGT